CAGGGGAAATGATCAGGCTTGTGACCCACCGTGGAAAACCTGAACGATCTGAATAAAGAGGACCTTAGCCTTGTTTACTCTTTTCATGCGAATTGGAACTTTTAGCAGAAATTCACCCGAAATGCTGGGTGCTTTCTCTCTAGTCACACAGGGAAAACATTATCTCTAGTTACTTCAAACTCCATCTCTGTTCTCTGGGAGATGGGGGGAGGTGGGTTTGGAGATGGGGGGATTAAGCTAAAATGAAAGGCAGAGATATGGGCTGTGACCCAGCCAAGAGAGGACCCAGCTGTCCTCACACTGCCCTGGGACCAGGCCATGGACACTTCCCACGGTTTGCTCCTTTGCACATGTGCACTGCATCTCAGGAGCACAGAATAGGGGTGATCTTGTGTCCACACAAAGATGTGCAAAGAATCTTCTTTGGGGTCATTGCCCACAGCCATGGGCAGGCCAGATACTCTAGGTGGGGCCCCTTCCCAGCCCCGAAGTGTCCTGTGCCCTTTGGCCCTCATCACCCAGGTCCTCGTGGCCTTGACATGTGCCCCTACAAATGAACTTGCTTGTCCCCAAATCCAGGATCCTGGGTTCTGAGCCTCTCCAGGGGTTTCTACTCTATTCCAAAGACCAGCCCTCAGGACATCTCTGAGGTACACAGATAGAGACTGTCATAGTAACCAATGTGGGGAGGACCCAGAATTCATGCCCTGAGCAAGGCTTTCCCTGGCATTGTCCATGACCTCTAGCCCCCCACTTTCCATCAGTTTCTGTTTTTGTCCCTGCTGTGGAGCTCATTGAAACAGGCCTCCTCCCCACAAATGAGCATGCAGGTCAGAGGTGAAGGGGTCCCCCTCACCCCACCTAACTCCCAGGTTCCCATGGCAACAGGACAAAGTATCTCCTCCACCTGGCCCATGGCCCTTCTCCCACCTGTGCCTCACCTGCAGCCCTCTCCACACACCTCAGCCAGCAGTTCTGTCTTTCCTGAGGGCCCCAAGGTGGGTGCTTCTCCCACGTAGGTTCACTCAGACCAGGGAGCCCACATTCGCACAAATAAAGCTGCTCCAGGGCTGGCCGAGTGGCGCATTGGTTAAGAGTTGGCTTGGGACGCCAGTTCTGAGCAGCAGGGCCCCGGTTCAGATCCCATATGAGGGCCAGTGACGCTGCCCTCTATAGCTATGGTCGTGAACAACAGCTCGACCTGGAGCTGGGCTGCCGTGAGTCACCTGCAATGGCGTAGGCTGTAGTGAAGCTGCAGTGGGCTGCTATAAGCTACCATGAGTGACTGGCAGCCAGCATGAGCAGCCAGCAGTCGGCGTGAGCTGCCAAGAGCCACCGTGAGTGGCCGTCCAGTGGCCAGTGACCAATCTACCTCACCCAGGAAGAGAGCAATGATAATACCAACATGGGCCAGTGAAGCGACGTCCTCCACAACTAGACGGAAGAACAAAAGGACAGCAACTTGTCTGTTCCCCTTCCCTGATTCCCCAACACTGTTCCATTCCCCAATAAAAAAAAAAATCTAAAAATAAAAGGTGCTCCAACACTGAGGCACAGAGGCCACAGTTCCCAAGTATGTTCTGCCATAGCCCAAGTGTTGTTTATCACAGACAAGAGATGGGTAAAAAACCTACAGAGTTTCACATCATAATTGAGCAT